TTGCGGTCCTATGGAGACCGTTGCGGTCCTATGGAGACCGTTGCGGTCCTATGGAGACCGTTGCGGTCCTATGGAGACCGTTGCGGTCCGGAGTACGGAGAAGACACACACACATCTCCCAAGAACCAGTATTGATCCACTGTCATGTCCTCAGAGTCGCGTAGAGTGACTGACAGACCGCTAAAGAACAGTGACAGCAAAGTCACTACTGCTCAGATGATCGCTTCCTATCACGCTAATGTGTACCCCGCGCCGTCCGCGGGCGTGTCAGGCGTGACATAATGTGTCAGGCTTGACATAATGTGTCAGGCGTGACATAATGTGTCAGGCGTCACATAAGGTGTCAGGCGTGACATAAGGTGTCAGGCGTGACATAAGGTGTCAGGCGTGACAGAAGGTGTCAGGCGTGACAGAAGGTGTCAGGCGTGACATAAGGTGTCAGGCGTGACATAAGGTGTCAGGCGTGACATAAGGTGTCAGGCGTGACATAAGGTGTCAGGCGTGACATAATGTGTCAGGCGTGACATAATGTGTCAGGCGTGACAGAAGGTGCCAGGCGTGACAGAAGGTGTCAGGCGTGACATAATGTGTCAGGCGTGACATAAGGTGTCAGGCGTGACATAATGTGTCAGGCTTGACATAATGTGTCAGGCTTGACATAATGTGTCAGGCGTGACATAATGTGTCAGGCGTGACATAATGTGTCAGGCGTGACATGGCTACGCCAATATGACACTTGGGAGAGAGACAAAGAGGATAACATAAGAATTACGGATCGGACAAAGCGGAAAGAACGATGCTCCACCACTTGGACCATCGGGGATCGAGCCCCGACCTGCAGTAAACTACCCGTCCTCTCGCTTCTGACGACAAGTACTCACTCGCCTTAACTCGTTTCTTTACACGCGAAATACAAGTTCAGCAAAATGCGGAAAACGAGCAAATATTTCATTTGTGATTGATTGATTGATAAAGATTAAGCCACCCAAAAGGTGGCACGGGCATGAATAGCCCGTAAGTTCATTCGTGGAGGGAAGTGAGGCTTTAAGGTGAGTGATTGAAGGTGAGGTGGCGATAGTGAACCTGGGCGATAGGAGGAGTGATAGTGAAACTGTTGATGATGATGGTGATGATGAGTGAGGGTCATGTTCCGTGTCATCATATTCCTGTGTCACCCTGTGTCACCCTGTGTCACCCTGTGTCACCTGGTCTCATATTGTGTGACTTTGTATGTCGCTCGGTACGTGAACTCTGTGTCACCTTGTATCGTTCTAATGGCCCGGGTTCGATTCCCGGGGGAGGCGGAAACAAATGGGCACAGTTTCTTTCAACCCTGATGCACCTGTTCACCTAGCTGTAAACAGGTCCCTGGGAGTTGGACAGCTGCTACGGGCTGCTTCCTGGGGATGTGTGTGCTCCTTGTCCTCATATCCCAGCTTCTTGTCCTCATATCCCAGCTTCTTGTCCTCATATTCCAGCTCCTTGTCCTCATATTCCAGCTTCTTGTCCTCATATTCCAGCTCCTTGTCCTCATATTCCAGCTCCTTGTCCTCATATCCCAGCTTCTTGTCCTCATATTCCAGCTCCTTGTCCTCATATTCCAGCTCCTTGTCCTCATATCCCAGCTTCTCTGTCCTCATATCCCAGCTCCTTGTCCTCATATTCCAGCTCCTTGTCCTCATATCCCAGCTTCTCTGTCCTCATATCCCAGCTCCTTGTCCTCATACCCAAGCTCCTTGCCCTCATATCCCAGCTCCTTATCCTCATATACCAGCTCCTTGTCCTCATACCCCAGCTCCTTGTCCTCATACCCCAGCTCCTTGTCCTCATACCCCATCTCCTTGTCCTCATACCCCAGCTCCTTGTCCTCATACCCCAGCTCCTTGCCCTCATACCCCAGCTCCTTATCCTCATACCCCAGCTCCTTGTCCTCATAGCCCAGCTCCTTGTCTTCATATCCCAGCTCCTTGTCCTCATACCCCAGCTCCTTGTCCTCATACCCCAGCTCCTTGTCCTCATACCCCAGCTCCTTATCCTCATACCCCAGCTCCTTATCCTCATACCCAGCTCCTTATCCTCATACCCCCAGCTTCTTGTCCTCATATCCCTTCCAAGATAGTCGTACTATCATACAGTTGTACTAGCTAATCACTTTCTCCTCATTAGAAGCTATCTCAGTGATCACTGAAATTAGGACCCCCGGGGAAGGGGGTTTAGGCCCCCCTGGGGGGGGGGGATTAGGACCCAGGGGGAGGGGGTTTAGGACCAGGTACCGGGGTGCATCTTTCCTCCCACGTCGACAAGGCCCCGCGGGACCTCAGCTACCAAGTCAATATATATATATATAGTCTCTCTGGCCCGAGGTAATTCTACACGGGTTTATGAGAAGCATCTGGCATCGTGGCGTTTAGACACCTGTCAACTTGCTATAACAAGTGTTCTATAGCAAATGTTCTCCGTTTAGACACCTGTCAACTTGCTATAGCATATGTTCTCCGTATAGACACCTGCCAACTTGCTATAACAAGTGTTCTATAGCAAATGTTCTCCGTTTAGACACCTGTCAACTTGCTATAACAAGTGTTCTATAGCAAATGTTGTTCGTTTAGACACCTGTCAACTTGCTATAGAATATGTTCTCCGTTTAGACACCTGCCAACTTGCTATAGCAAATGTTCTCCGTTTAGACACCTGCCAACTTGCTATAGAATATGTTCTCCGTTTAGACACCTGCCAACTTGCTATAGCAAATGTTCTCCGTTTAGACACCTGCCAACTTGCTATAGCAAATGTTCTCCGTTTAGACACCTGCCAACTTGCTATAGCAAATGTTCTCCGTTTAGACACCTGCCAACTTGCTATAGCAAATGTTCTCCGTTTAGACACCTGCCAACTTGCTATAGCAAATGTTCTCCGTTTAGACACCTGCCAACTTGCTATAGCAAATGTTCTCCGTTTAGACACCTGCCAACTTGCTATAGCAAATGTTCTCCGTTTAGACACCTGCCAACTTGCTATAGCAAATGTTCTCCGTTTAGACACCTGCCAACTTGCTATAGCAAATGTTCTCCGTTTAGACACCTGCCAACTTGCTATAGCAAATGTTCTCCGTTTAGACACCTGCCAACTTGCTATAGCAAATGTTCTCCGTTTAGACACCTGCCAACTTGCTATAGCAAATGTTCTCCGTTTAGACACCTGCCAACTTGCTATAGCAAATGTTCTCCGTTTAGACACCTGCCAACTTGCTATAGCAAATGTTCTCCGTTTAGACACCTGCCAACTTGCTATAGCAAATGTTCTCCGTTTAGACACCTGCCAACTTGCTATAGCAAATGTTCTCCGTTTACACACCTGCCAACTTGCTATAGCAAATGTTCTCCGTTTACACACCTGCCAACTTGCTATAGAATATGTTCTCCGTTTACACACCTGCCAACTTGCTATAGCAAATGTTCTCCGTTTAGACACCTGCCAAGTTGCTATAGCAAATGTTCTCCGTTTAGACACCTGCCAACTTGCTATAGCAAATGTTCTCCGTTTACACACCTGCCAACTTGCTATAGCAAATGTTCTCCGTTTACACACCTGCCAACTTGCTATAGCAAATGTTCTCCGTTTACACACCTGCCAACTTGCTATAGAATATGTTCTCCGTTTACACACCTGCCAACTTGCTATAACAAGTGTTCATCTAATATGCCGTTTCCGATTTTTTTTTTTCGGAATCGACCAAACCGTTAAAAAAATGACGTATTAGTATTAAAGCTCCGTAATACTAGCCTTCGCCATGTGAACGTAGACCACTGTGCTAAAGCCTCGTAACAAATGCAATTCCTTAAACCAGAAAAAGTAAACAAAAAATTATATATTATTTTCCCCGACCAGAAACTTCAAAAAAATCCAACCGTTTGGTCCAACATTAAAAAAAAAAAATAAATTTTTTTTGCCTTTGTTTTAAACTAGCTAGACACGAACGAACCCAACCAACCCACTTAACCTATCGATGCCTAGCGAACGTCTATATTACGGCGCTTGAAGTTGGACTAATACGTCACTTTTTTAACGGATTGGTCCATTACGTACAAAAATAAACTAAAAAAAAAAAAAACAGGTAGCCGGACTGCCGGGCCGATCCACGTGTTGATGCCGGAGGCCCGTTGACGTATATATCCGGCCAGCACCACCAGATACGAAACCTGTAGATCTTTCTCGTGCCAGCTTGGGTTTACACTTATCAAGCATTGTACAAGCCTCGAGGTAGTTTACAATCATAATACCCTTCGGTTATGCCGTTTGGAAGTTCGTAAAGTGTTGGTTCAATGTAAACACAGTCGCCGTGTTTGTTGGAAGATGTACAGGTTTCGTAAATTCGCAAATTGTGTGTAAATTTTTGTGTAAATTTTCATCAATTTTTTTGTAAATTTTTGTGTAAATTTTCATCAATTTTTTTGTAAATTTTTGTGTAAATTCTTGATGAATCCTGGTCGACCTAACTAATGAACTAATTTAACTGCTAGTGATTAGTGCCTTAAAATATGTAAAACATTGTCCACACACACACACACACACACACACACACACACACACACACACACACACACACACACACACACACACACACACACACACACACATGCGTGTGTACAATTTATAAATATACATTAATATTTGTTTACAAATTGTAAGTCACTAATCACGAGCCGTTAAACTATTTACAACGATAATATTACACTGTAAACATACAATACATACGGCCGCTACTTGGGTGTATAATCAATCATTTATTTACTTCTATTATTTCGGTCAATAACGGTATGTGGGCGTCGCCGTTATCAATAAACTTTTTATCAGCCTATTCCCTTCCCCTTAGCAATTAGGGCGGAAAATCAATCAAATTCTCGTAGGGAAACCGAATTTATTGACCTCCCCCGTCTTATCTCTCCTTGAGAGACACTTGAGTTCATTTTATCTCCCCCCGGAGCTTATCGGGCAGTCACCGCTGTGGCGGCGGCAGTTGTGTGAGAAGACATGGCCGCGGACGGAGTGCGTGGCTTTCTTAAGACGGTCGGGTTGGTGCTGGTGGTGCTGGCCCCGGCGGCTTCCCAGCCTCCTAATGTCATCATAATGCTTATGGATGATGTGAGTACATCTTGTTGTGATGCATGTTTAGCCCCATACAGTTTTCCACCCCCGAAAATATATATATAATGTATTTTTTTCTGCAGTTTAGTTTACCCTTTAAAAAAAGAGTGTTTGGATCATTTTCTATGATCTTGAGAGAAAATGAGTTTTCAGCATAAACTCTTGTATTATTAATATGGTTAATTAAGTAAGTAATAATCGAAAGAAGGCACCAAGCTGGGGAGCATATGTAGCTTAATATGGTTAAGATAAGCTTAATTACTAATTATTTATACGTACGTTTGTATTTTATTGAGTTGTCGTTCCGACACGATTGTTTAAAATATGAATATAAATATTAATTAACAAAATAGTGTACTCGAGATCACTAGGAGAGTAATTGTGGTGATACCGAGGTTCCCATAAGACTACTCACTATATATATATATATATATATATATATATATATATATATATATATATATATATATATATATATATATATATATATATATATATATATATATATATATATATATATATAAGCCTATACTTGCATAAACCACAAGTGAAGATAAACAATCTTTGGACAACACCCACCAGTGGGACTCGAACCCAGAAAGCACAACTACCTTCCAGTAGCTGGCTTCCAGTAATATATATATATATATATATATATATATATATATATATATATATATATATATATATATATGTATAGTCTCCGTGGTCCTGGAAAGCTGTGCACCAGCCCTGAGTGATCCTCTCTCGCTGCAGATGGGCTGGGGTGACCTGGGAGCCAATGGCGAGCCGAGCAGGGAGACTCCCAACATCGACCAAATGGGCAGAGAGGGACTCACTGTGACATCCATGTATACGGCAGCGCCCCTCTGCTCCCCGAGTGAGTAATGCACAGTGTGGCTAATTCTCATCCCCCCCCCCCGTGTGAGTGAGGCACAGCGTGGCTTCTCATGTGAGTAACTCCCACTGTGAGTACAGCCCCTATGAGGCGTTACTCGCCCTTTACATGGCTCATAGAGAGTCAAGGATTGGATTTATTTTGAGAACAACGTCATTAATGAAGAGGAATGTGTTTGGTGGCTGATGTGTAGTTAGGAACCTTGTATGGTTTGTGAGGACCAGCGCCTGAAAGGTCGCTGTGATGTGTGACCTTCGAGTAAATTTCAGTGTTACCTTCAAATTTGATCTTCAGGTGGGAGAGTGACCTTTAAGTGTGATCTTGAGTGTGACCTTGAGACGTGTTCTTTCAGGAGTGATCTTGAGGTGTGACCTTCAAATATCACCTTCAGGGGGTGACCTAAATGATTTTGATTTTAGTTTAGTGATAGGGAGGAGGGTAGGGGTGTCAAGGCCTATCAACCTCTGGAGGGTTATTAAGACCACCACAATACCTTAATGCTCAACCAGCGAGTATACTTCATTCCTGAACGTAATGAAAGACTAAATCCTGCATTTAGTCCCTTAATTACCTGTACCTGAGACTAATCCAGGTACAGGTCAAGTACCTCCCTGTACCTGTACCCACAGCCCGAGCAGCTCTTCTGACTGGCAGACTACCCATCAGGAATGGCTTCTACTCTAACAACACGCACGGGATGAATGGTGAGTTCTCTCTTCGTATATTATCATTGATGATGAGTTTTTGACTGTGTATAGCAATCATATTTAGTTAAAAATGTGTCAATTTAACAATTATCAGTAACATAGTTGTGTGAGAAGCTGATGACGTACCATATCTATCTCTGTGGGGTAGATATGGTACTGTGCACTGCTTTAAACGACCCCCCATCACTGATTAGTACCCAGGACCTACACTGCCTCAGACGACCCCTCCATCTTTACTAGTACCCAAGCCCCACACTGGCTCAGACGACCCTCTCTTTCACTAGTACCCAAGCCCCACACTGGCTCAGACGACCCTCTCTTTCACTAGTACCCAAGCCCCACACTGGCTCAGACGACCCTCTCTTTCACTAGTACCCAAGCCCCACACTGCCTCAGACGACCCCTCCATCTTTACTAGTACCCAAGCCCCACACTGGCTCAGACGACCCTCTCTTTCACTAGTACCCAAGCCCCACACTGGCTCAGACGACCCTCTCTTTCACTAGTACCCAAGCCCCACACTGGCTCAGACGACCCTCTCTTTCACTAGTACCCAGGCCCCACACTGCCTCAGACGACCCCTCCATCTTCACTAGTACCCAAGCCCCACACTGCCTCAGACGACCCTCTCTTTCACTAGTACCCAAGCCCCACACTGCCTCAGACGACCTCCTCTCTGCCAGTACTCTAACACTATACCTTGTGTGTCCCCCCCTCCCCTGGCAGCCTACACCCCGCAGGAGATAGTGGGTGGGATCTCCTCCAGCGAGATCCTCCTTCCGGAGCTCCTGCGGCCACAGGGTTACACTTCAGGCATCATTGGTAAATGGTGAGAATATGGCAACATTTGTTGTTGTTGTTGTTGTTGTTGTTGTTGTTGTTGTTGTGTGTGTGTGTGTGTGTGTTTACTAGTTGTGTTTTTACGGGGGTTGAGCTCTGCTCTTTCGGCCCGCCTCTCAACTGTCAATCAACTGTTTACTAACTACTTTTTTTTTTCACACCACACACACACACACACACACACCAGGAAGCAGCCCGTGACAGCTGACTAACTCCCAGGTACCTATTTACTGCTAGGTAACAAGGGCATTCAGGGTGAGAGAAACTTTGCCCATTTGTTTCTGCCTCGTGCGGGAATCGAACCCGCGCCACAGAATTACGAATCCTGCGCGCTATCCACCAGGCTACGAGACCCCTGTGTGTGTGTGTGTGTGTGTGTGTGTGTGTGTGTGTGTGTGTGTGTGTGTGTGTGTGTGTGTGTGTGTGTGTGTGTGTGTGTGTGTGTGTGTGTGGTGTATTCCAGACATGTGTTGCAGTGTATTTATACTCATACATGAGGGCTGTGTTACTATGGATGGTGACACAAGGGAACCTAAGTGTATTTGTGTGTGTGTGTGTGTGTGTGTGTACGTAGTGTGAGTGTGCATACTGTGATTGTATATCCCATAACTGTGTATGGCAACGGCATATTATGTAGGACAACTACATAAGTATTGTGGACTGAATGTAGTGTGACCTCATATAGTCCAAACACACGAATATCTATATACACGAACTTCAAATGTATATCAGCGTATTCCCCTCTTTCCCACAAGGCACCTGGGGCACCGGTCACCCTACCTACCCCTAAAGCGAGGGTTCGACTTCTTCTACGGATCAACCAACTGTCACTTAGGGCCCTACGATGACGTCACGACCCCAAACATTCCGGTCTTCCGAAATGCTTCGATGATTGGCAGGCGAGTCCTGGTATCCTGCATTCACTATACTGGAACTAAATACAGTGTCTTTCACTATACTGCCTCTCACCACGGTGTCTCACTATACTGCCTCTCACCACAGGTACTTCGAGGACTTCCCTATCGACAAAAGCGCGGCAGTATCCAACATGACGCAGCTCTTCACCGAGGAAGCTGTAGGCTTCATTGAGCGCCAAGCGCCCCAGGGGCCGTTCTTCCTACTATGGGCGCCTGACGCCACCCACGCCCCCGAGTACGCCTCTGACAAGTTCCACGGCACCAGCAGGAGAGGTCAGAGCTCTGGGGTGTCTCCTGATCTTGTCTTATTTAAAGCTGGTATGCAACAGACATTCCTCCCTCTGATGCTACTCTTCCAGGGGCTTAGCTGCCTCCTGTTGCTGTTTCAGGTCACTACGGGGACGCCGTGAGGGAGCTGGACGCCGGTGTAGGGGCCCTTCTGGACGCCTTGAGACGCTCCGGGGTCCACAACAACACCCTGGTCGTCTTCACCTCCGACAACGGCGCTGCTCTCGTCAGCAAGCAAGATGGTCAGATCAATCAAGGCATTAGTTTGAAGTGTCTTAAATATCTTCTTATAGATTATCATTTCATCTTCCTGTGTGCTTGTCTTCTGTACTCATAAGTACTCAATTAAGTGTGGTTTCAGAGTCGAGTTTAAGCTCCTAAGCCCCATCGGGAAATGATAATTTCTAATTCATCTAGTTTCTTTGACAACAATTTTGATAAAATAAAATGAGTTCCTTCTCACGGTATTTTGTCTGTGTTATCAATTCACATTAATGTTCCTTCGTTCCACTATGTCTCATTTTGAACGGTGATTCTTTTGTAGATCATTCTTAAAATCTGCTATGTAGTTATCATGTCTCCTCTGCTCCTCCTGAGCTATGGTGTAGTGAGTAACAGCTTCGTGAACCAGGCACTTGAGGTGTGTGCTCTATGAAATGAACCTTGTTACGTGTAGCTGCACTTCCTCTAGTTCGTGTGTGTGTGTGTGTGTGTGTGTGTGTGTGTGCGTGCGTGCGTGCGTGCGTGCGTGCGTGCGTGCGTGCGTCTGATTCTTCATCACCTTCTTCAGGAGGCAGCAACGGACCCTTTCTCTGTGGGAAGCAGACGACCTTCGAGGGGGGAATGCGAGCCCCGGGCATATTCTGGTGGCCAGGGGTGTTGACCCCAGGCGCCGTCTCCCACCAGGTAAGTTCCAGAGGTGCCCTAAGGTGCCCTAAGTTCCAGAGGTGCCCTAAGGTGCCCTAAGTTCCAGAGGTGCCCTAGGGTGCCCTAGCCTCATTAGTTTCGAATTAACAAATATTTGTACAGTGGAATCAGAAGACCATGATATAGGGCTTCAATATATTCTCATAGATAAGACGACCAAAACACACACACACACACCAGAAGATGGAGAAACAACGACGTTTCGGTCCATTCTGGACCATTAGCAAGTCACATACGACTTGCTAACGGTCCAGGACGGACCGAAACCTCATCGTCTCCTCAACTTCTGATGTGTGGTTTGGTTCATCGTATCTTCAGCCTATTGTAACTCATCGTTCCTCATAGATACGTGTTACGTGATTTGATGATGTTGGACCGCCAGGTGTGGACGCAGATGGACCTCTTCACCACCGTCCTGGAGTTGGCGGGAGTAACGCCGCCGGGCGACCGTCATCTAGATGGTCTTCCCCTCACCAACTCTCTTCTTTATCCTGACCACCTGGTGTTGAGGCGAGTCTGTCCACCTTGCATGTGTCTGACACCTTGTCTCAACGTCTGTGTGTGTCTGTTTCCTCGGTGCTGGCTTTGTCTGTGTAGCCAGCACAGACGAAGTGCCGGGCACACAGCATTTTGTCTTCTTTAGCATGTCTTCGAGTGCCTGAATGTCTAGGAGCAGGCCTGTGTTTGTGTCTGTAAACGCCTCTTCAATGCGGGTGTGATTGTGTTGTGACTTCTCTAATACAATCCATTCTCCAAAATGATTGTACATATATATAGCGACCAAAAGCTCTTTCACACAGCAGAACGTGTTGGTCTTTGAACACAACGTGTTTGCTGCAACAGATATGAATTAACCTCTAACTTGACTACGTTTCAGGCCCGTTTTCCTGTACCGCGGGGACCGGCTAATGGCCGTCAGGCAGGGGGCGTACAAGCTGCATCTCTGGACCTTCAGCACGCCCCCCGAAGAGCTCAGCGTGGTTAGTGTCCCCCCTCCCCACACCTGTCCTTTGATTGCTTGGCTCCATACCTGACTTGAGACCAGTCACTACAGAGTTCGATCCCGCTGTAGCGCTTCGATATTTGCCGATCCTTTCAGGGTATCAACTTCTGCCCGGGGGCTGAGGTGGAGAACGTGACCACCCCGATACCCACGGACCACAGCGACCAGCCCGTTCTCTTCAACATCGAAGTGGACCCCGCTGAGCGCTACCCCATACCCTCCGGCAGCTCTGTGTACAAGAAGCAAGTCCCTGTGGTGGGTCTCCTTCCATCTTTTTCACCGTCGACTGTTAATGTTCCCTTTTTTTCTTCATTGTGGGACTTTAATATACTTTTTTCTTCACTTGGAGACGTTAATATACAATTTCTCTTCACGATTGGACTGTATATACACTTTTTCTTTTCGATTGGACGTTAATATACACTTTTTCTTCACGATTGGACGTTAATATACACTTTTTCTTCACGATTGGACGTTAATATACACTTTTTCTTCACGATTGGACGTTAAAATACACTTTTTCTTCACGATTGGACGTTAATGTACACTTTTCTTTCTCCTTGGTAAATTACCATTGCCGAGCTAATCTCGCAACTGTCCAATTCATACAGGTGATACAGCTGCAGTTACTGTATTATTTATATTTACATTTTTGTTTACCTTTGGATTTTTGTTTACATTTGGATTTTTGTTTACATTTACAGTATTGTTTACATTTACATTTTTGTTTACATTTGGATTTTTGTTTGCATTTACAGTATTGTTTACATTTACATTTTTGTTTACATTTGGATTTTTGTTTGCATTTACAGTATTGTTTACATTTACATTTTTGTTTACATTTGGATTTTTGTTTGCATTTACAGTATTGTTTACATTTACATTTTTGTTTACGTCTCTCCCACACAGCTGCTGGAGGTTGTGTCGGAACACCTGACGGAGCTGGTTCCTGGGGAGCCGCAGCTGAACTGGTGTGATCCCGCTGTGATGGTGAGTATGGTGTGGGGGGGTGATGGTGAGTATGGTGTAGGGGGGTGATGGTGAGTATGGTGCGGGGGGTGATGGTGTGTATGGTGCGGGGGAGTGATGGTGTGTATGGTGCGGGGGGGGGGGTGGTGAGTATGGTGGGGGGTGATGGTGAGTATAGTGTAGGGGGGAGGGTGTATGGTGGGGGGGGTGATGGTGAGTATGGTGCGGGGGGAGGGTGTATGGTGGGGGGGGTGATGGTGAGTATGGTGCGGGCGGGAGGATGTATGGTGGGGGGTGATGGTGAGTATGGTGTGGGGGGGAGGGTGTATGGTGGGGGGGTGATGGTGAGTATGGTGCGGGGGGGAGGGTGTATGTGGGGGGGTGATGGTGAGTATGGTGCGGGCGGGAGGATGTATGGTGGGGGGGTGATGGTGAGTATGGTGCGGGGGGGAGGGTGTATGGTGGGGGGTGATGGTGAGTATGGTGCGGGGGGGAGGGTGTATGGTGGGGGGGGTGATGGTGAGTATGGTGTAGGGGGGTGTGTATGGGGGTGGGTGATGGTGAGTATGGTGTGGGGGGAGGGTGTATGGTGGGGGGGTGTGATGGTGAGTAGAGTGTAGGGGGGAGGGTGTATGGTGGGGTGATGGTGAGTATGGTGTGGGGGGGGGGGTGCTGTGATGATGAGTAGGGTAGGAGGTACTGTGATGATACGGTGCAGATGACGTGATGGTGAGTATATGGCCTAGGCTCCGTGATGGTGAGAAAACACCACCATCAACTATAGGAGCTCCGTCGTATAGGCCGATAAAGGCCTTCTGAGGATTCCTTTAGTCATATATTCTAAACTTTCTATTGCAAACAAAAAAATTAACACCCAGTATTCGTCACTAATGATTTTTTTTGTTTTATCACTACTTAATTTTCTTTGTTTTGTTTTATTTGTTTTGTTTATTTGTTTTATTTTTTTTATTTTTTTTATTTGTTGTTTATTTGTTTATTTGTTATTCGTGCTTTCCAGCACTGGGCGCCTCCGGGATGTGAAGCCCTTGGTAGGTGTCTTGAAGTTCCGCCCTCTGACCCCACCCTGTGTGTCTGGCCTCATTAGTACGAGATCTTGGCGATGGTGACTCTACTAGCACGACCTCCTGGCGCTGGTGACTCTACTAGCACGACCTCCTGGTGCTGGTGACTCTACTAGCACGACCTCCTGGTGCTGTTGACTCTATTAGCACGACCTCCTGGTGCTGTTGACTCTATTAGCACGACCTCCTGGTGCTGTTGACTCTACTAGCACGTCCTCCTGGGCCAATTGACTCTACTGCATGCCCTCCTGGTGCTGGTGACTCTACTAGCCCGACCTGGTGCTGTTGACTCTACAGCAGTCCTCCTGGGCCATTGACTCTACTAGCACAACTCCTGGTGCGTTTTGACTCTACTAGCATGACTCCCTGTGCCTGTGCTCTACTAGCATGACCCCTGGTGCTGTGCTCTCTAGCATCCCCTTCTAGTGCTGGTGACTCTACTAGCACGACCTCCTGTATCTGGTGACCTCATTAACACGATCTTTTAATGTATTTTAATTATTTTTATTGTAACACTTCCCTTTGTTATTATAGTCAGTATAAATAATTATATTAAACTATGAATAAAATACACATAATAATTGTTATAATTGCACTTAAATGTACAACTATATAATGATCATGTACAAGTTATTATGATGTGAACCTCTACCGCTTGTTTCTTTCAAACTGCCTTTCGCCTGTACGATGCGCATATAATGCACGCATTCATATCTGTGTTTACTAGTTGTGTTTTTACGGGGGTTGAGCTTTGCTCTTTCGGCCCGCCTCTCAACTGTCAATCAACTGTTTTACTAACTACTTTTTTTTTTTTTTTCACCACCACACCCACACACCACCTCAGGAAGCAGCCCGTGACAGCTGACTAACTCCCAGGTACCTATTTACTGCTAGGTAACAGGGGCATTCAGGGTGAAAGAAACTTTGCCCATTTGTTTCTGCCTCGTGCGGGAATCGAACCCGCGCCACAGAATTACGAATCCTGCGCGCTATCCACCAGGCTACGAGGCCCCTGTGCATGATGAGTGTTTAGTGCATGTATTCCCTCCTGTATGATGATAGTATAATGCATACATATCAGTGAAAAGATGCATTCATTGTTGGTTAGTGCTGAATGACAGACAAAACCCCCACAACATTTTTTTTTTCTCAAGGGCGTAGACCACTGTGCTACAGGA